TGCAGTCCTCCTGCTTCAGCCTCCCAAGTCACTGGAATTTCAGGCATGTGTTATCACACCTGGCAAAAATATTTTTTTATTGTTTTTTTTTTTTTGTAGTGCTGGGGATTGAACCCTGGACCTTGCACATGCCGGGCAAGCATTTTACCACTGAGTCATATCTCTAGCACTGTTTTCATTTCTTAATTATCTCATTATTAGTATACCTTATTAAGTTATTGGAAAAATGAGAATCTGATAGAAGGAAGGAACCAGAATAGTAAAAAGTGAAATGAAAGAAGGCCTAACACCTCTTCTTCAAGGAGCTTGCCTTGAAATGCCTGGCATTGACCCAGTGGAACACCTGTGCTCTGATAGGGTCTGATTTTCCTTCTGGGGAAGTCAGTTATCCACACTCCAGATAGAAGTGATTCTTTTGACTGTTAAGCCTGAACCCCACTCTTTGTTCTGGGGTAGCTTCTGCAGCATTTAGAAATATTTTAAAATGATACACGGGAAACTGACCTGAAAGAATACTTGGGGGAGACAACCCTCTTGATGAATTTAACAGGACAGTTTAATCCTCAAACCGGAAGAATGACAACAGGACACACACTGGCCCTGATTTAGAGAAGTTAGTGGAAATTCCACTTTCCCAGGCCTCATCCACTCAAAGCCAGCTTGACAGTTTCTCTTCCCGACCTGACTCCACCCCTGTCACGCTCCTTCCCTTTCTGTCTGTGAACTCAGCTTACCCTCCTAACCCAGGGAACATCCCACCCCTCAAGGCTAGGACGCTGATGGCCCCCAGAAGGACCTGAAGACTAGTCTTCAGGAGGAAGAAGGAATCCCGAGGACATTTCAAAGATTTCATGATGATGATTACAGTATGAATCTGTCCTAGGGGTACATGAGTGGAAGGGAAGGCGGGGGCACCCACCAGGACACTGGCTTAGAGGTTCCTGACCTGAAGCCAGGAGTGACTTTCCTCATCCACTGCCACCCACCTCAAAATCATCCACAAAATCGCCTCTGTATGTGCATTTGACGGGAAGAGCAATCAGGGCTTTCACCAGCCACCGAAACGAGCTCAGCAATTCAGTCAAGTTGAAGAAAGAAGCACCGAGCTAGAAACACTGGCACCAACCCCCTATGCCCCCTCCGTATTTATGAACTGTCAATCCGCTACCACTGTCCCTCATCGTCTCCCACCCACCCTGACCCAGGCCCAGACACAAAACAGGTTCCCATACCAGCCCTCAGGACACATCCTGAATAACCAATGACTTAAAAAAAAAAATCTTTAATGGAATCTGTGCTCAAATAATATGTTACAACAAAAATATACAGAATGTACACAATACAAAAATATTTAGAAACCAACATTGCAGTTTGTGTTTTTTTTTTTTTTCCTCCCACTTACTCAAGTCCTGGGGCGGTGGGGGTGGGGGGGCAGTTCACTGTTGGGCACTGTTTTTAAGGCAGAGGAGAATCGGCCAGTGCTTTGCAGCCAGCTTGGGAGCAACAACCATGATGCGGGAGAGGGATTCCCCGCATCGCATCTGCACTCTGTGGAGGAAGGTCCTGGTGTGGTGAGCAGTGGTCCCCCTAATGCTCTGGGCAATAATGGTTCTCATGGAAATTGAGAGTCCCATTAGCTGCCAAAAGAGCCTCATTAGGGAGTTTTTCCTAATTAAAAAAAAAAACGAATGATGAATGGTGTCATTAAAGTGAAATCTCTCCTTTGAAGGCCTGTTTTCCCTTCCCCAGTTTGAGATTCCTCTCCAGTTTAAGGAGCCAGGCGCCTGTGGCCGCTGTCTGGAGATTCCCCAGCTCTCAATTTCCGTGCTCCAGGACACACAGGCGGACCTACCTCCAGCAGCCTGAAGATGTACCCGTCCTCTACTGTCCAGCGTCCTGACTGGTAGCCATACTGGAGAGGAAGGTGGGACAAAGGGAAGAGGCCTGAGGCCAGTTGGGCAAGCGCTGCTGAGGGCTGGAGAGGGCACAGGAGCACAGGTACCTCCTGAGGAGAAGGCCAGAGCCCCAGAAATAAACCTGTCTGGGTCTTGTGAAGTGACTCCACTGTCCCTGCTCTGTGGCCCTACTTGGGAGTGGGGGTTGAGAGAAGACGGTGGCAGGGAATAGCTGGTGCTGGTGGCCTGGGCTCTGGATGAGACTCCCTTCCAGAGCTCCAGGCCCTGAGAGTGGACTTAACAGGGTGAGAGGAGGGAGGAAGGAGACTGCCCTTTCCAGAAACGAGCTCTTATCTCAAGCCCTGAAGGAACTGAGAGCTTCTGAGGGCTCACTAGAGTCTAGTTCCCTGCATCTAAGACAAGATGGAGCTCTGCTGGCTCCACCCTCATCCCAGCAGCCCCAAGTGCCTCCCAGCAGGGCCCAGCTGCCTCTTCCCTCCAGAAAGGGACAGAAGCATTCAAGCTTAGCTGCTGCTGTAGCCCATGGCAGAGGCATGGGTCCCGGCCCCTCTTGATCCTTACTCAAGTCTTGGCCCAGGCTCCAAGGCCTCAGCACCCTCTCCTAAGCAGCAGACCCTTCCACCCACATCGTCCCAGGGCAGCGAATGGCAGGCAGGACACAGAATAGATGTTCCAGGCTGATGTGACTCAGGCCACGTGGCCTCAGGCTGACTGGCAGTCCTTGGCAGCATTGGCACTAGTGTGACCTTGAGGCCACACGTGGGGGACCAGGACAATGTAGTTAGTGCTGAGCAAAGATGGGGATGGGCCTGGCATAGACTATGAGTGGGTGTGTTTTGGGGTAGAAAGACCTTCCCGTTTCCATACGGTCACTAGCTGAGGAAGCGACAGTGGCCAGGGACCCCCAGGCACGTGCCTGGCTGACCCTGGACCTCACTGCACACAGGCTCTGCTGGGCACAAGGCTGATGGAAGGCAGCCCCACGCTCCTGCCCTTAACCCTGCAGCCCCTCTGCCTCCAGGCCTGGGGTTCTTTGTCCTTCCGGGAGATTTAGACTTCCAAAAGCAGTATAAAGGGAAGGACAGATTTTGTGAAAGGTCACCCACCTGACACCCTGGGCTCAGGGCTACAGTGGCTCCTCCAGCACAGTCCTGAATGCTGCCCTCCCTTCCTGGAGGGGAGAGGCAGCTGGCGCCCTGCTGGGAGGCGGGGCTTCTGCCCTCACCTGTCCTGACATCTGGGGCTGCCAGATGGTGGGGGGTGGGGTGAAGTCATTCCCCCAGCCTCATTTCCTATTTGTGAAGCAGGGGTGAGGGGTCTCCATAGTCCTTGGTTCCCTCCTAGCTCTCAGCAGCTGCACCCCCAGGCTGTTCTCGCCCTGGACACTCATCCAAGCCCCGAACAAGGCTCCTCTGGAGCCATGTTCCACCTAAACTAGAACGTCCTTCACTGCAGCCACCTGTCCCCCTAACTCAAATGGACACATAGCCTCAATAGTCCTGCCCGAGCCTTTCTTGCACCCCAAAAGATTCTCTTCTCAGGGAGACAGAACAAGACAGGACATTTTCGGATCTGAAAGCCATGCCAGAGGTAGAAAGGAGCAGTACTTGGATGCATTTCTTCTTAGCAATCCAAGGGCTGAGAGGGCCCAAGATTGCCCTACAGCACAGATAATTTTCCTGCAGGTCAATGATGCCCAGGGAATGTCTGGAAGGGACAGAAGATGGGAAACAAGGGAGGCAGGCTTTTCTAAAAACAAGGATACTCAGTAACCACACCACAGCACACCAGGGCTCCCTGTACCTCCTCTGAGACTCCCCACACGCCCACCGCCTCACGTGACTTCCTCTCCAGGCACCAGCTTAACTCACATCATCTTTCCCTACACACACGGTCACTCACTCACACCAAAAAGACAGGCACAAAGTAGGGTCAGGGCAGTAGAAGGGAAAGAATAGACCCTAAAGTCAAGGCAGGTGCAGCTGCTGGGCTGCTGGTGTGTGAAGTCAGCATCCAGGATGAAAGGGAGGGAGAGGCTGAAAGTTGGTCCTGGGGCTTCCCCAGGAAGAACTTGGGCTGAGGTTTATTCCTCCAGCTTGGGGCTCTCTCACTATCCCCCAGGGCTAGAGTGGGATCTGGAGCTTAATAGATCTCCCTGCCTTGTCCAGTACAGGCCCTAGAGGTCATGCCCCAGTAACCACTGGCCGGCCCAGGAGGGTACCCCCCGCCCCCCAGGATCTCCCAGGTTAAAGCCAGCACATCCACCACTGGGCCCTCTTTCCACCCCAGAACTCCAGACCTGGACTCCAGAGGGAACACTGTGCTGGGTGTGGTGGCACATGCCTGTAATCTCAGCAAATTGGGAGGCTGGGGCAGGAGGATTGTAAATCCAAGGCCAGCCTCAACAACTTTTGAGGCCCTAAGTAACTTAGCGAGACCCTGCCTCAAAATAAAAAAAATAAAAAGGGCTGGGGAAGTGGCTCAGTGGTAAAGTGCCCCTGGGTTCAATCCCCAGTACCAAAAAAAAAAAAAAAAGTAAACAGAGGAAACACTACCTGACCACAGAGACCCTCAGACCTTCCCTATGTCTCTCAGGGTCTCTCAGGGTGGAGGATGAGGGACAAAGCCACTGCCCCACCTGTGGCCAGGAAAGGACAGCCCATGGAACCGGCAGCTTCTCTCACTCTACCCCAGGCCTTTACCCGGGCCTGATGTCACCAGAACAGGCTAGAAAAATGACAGCAGCCATATCCAACTCCTCCTCCAGTGCCTTTCAAAAAAGAGGCCCCACCGTGTGCCCCCCATATGGAAACACAAACATCGCAGTAGCAGCGGAGTCCTTGCCTTTCCTCTCTGGCTTCACTGAGCTGGTGATGAGAAAAAGATCCAGGCGCTCCCTCTGGATGCTGCTTCTCCCTCCCCTCCCCACCTCCTCTGTCCTCAGCCCCTTACGGGGGCGGTGGCAGCTTCAAGTCCAGCAGAGAATAGGCAAAGATGTTCCAGAAGACGGCGAACAGCACGAAGACGGTGTACATGGCCACAAAAATCCACCACAGCGACTGGTCCTGCAGCCTCTGCTCATAGTTCCTCAGCACCACCACGCCCAGGGTGATGCCCACGGCCACACCACCCAGGTGTGCCACGAAGCTCGGGTGAGGGCAGGGCGGGTAGGCCGACGGGTGGAACCGGAGCCACACGGCCCGCCCGAACTCCAGACTCACTGCAGGAGGAGGAAGCACAGAGAAGTCACAGGAGGGCCCCCGGGCAGGGGCTGCAGGGACAGAGGCCTCGCACCCCAGCCCACCACCCTGTGGTTAATGCATTCACTGCCATGAGGCCGAGTACCATCTATGCACTGGGGACACGAGAATCAAGGAGACAGACAAAACCGTTCTCCCAGAGCTCACGGGGCCTGGAGATAAGCCAGCCAATAATTACACACATAAGACAATTTCATTAAGAGATTCATCTATGGGGAAAAAGTAGGTGACGTAAAGTCAATGCAGGGCATAAGGAGGGGACTCTGCAGGGAGTCTGTTAGGTCCCTCCGGAGGCAATCTTTGATCTGTGATCTGAGTATTCAGAGGGGTCTTGCCCCTAGAGCCCGCCCGAGGAGAGTGTTCCCGGGAGAGAGCAGGGGCTGATTGCAAACCCAAAGGCCCTGGCAAAGCTGAGGTCGCACCAAGTCCTGGGGCCGGGATCCTCGTTTGTCCATCTGTAGGAAGTCTCAGCCTCGGTGTGCCAGGCTTCACTGGTGGAGCCTGTTAGCAACTTCAAAATGTGCCCAGCACATGCTGTGTTTTCATGCATTATCTCAAAACCCTCAGAAAACTCTCAGAACCACGGCTTTTGTGGTTAGAAGGAAGGGATGGAGAGGGACAAGGACAAAGAGGGAATGGAAGTAAGCAATCCTCACTCCACCCTCACCCCAGAGAATTTCTGGACTTTCTCCCTAAAACAATTCTAAGATGCCACCACCTGCTCTCCGATCCTTCCTTCTTTTGTGAATTTTTTGGGTGGGCCAAATAGGGATGTCTTGAAGGGACAAGTAGGAGGCAACCTCATTTCCCAACCCCAAAGGAGCACAGAGATTCCTCATCCCCACTTAACAGAGGAGGAAACCAAGGCAAACCTACAGACCGAAAGAAAGCCCTTTGAGGGGAAGGTTTGCAGCTGTTCCATTACCATTTAGTGAACCAGTGGGCCTCTCTCGACTCCAACCATTCTGGGGTGCCAGAACTGCCAGGGACCTGCATTCCCCTGGGGACTGCCCCACCTTCTGCACTGGCCCTGCAACTCCCAAGGTGGCCAATAGGTGGTAGGAAAAGAGCAGCTGGGGACTGAGGCTCAGCTCCCCCCACTCCACGCAGCCCTCAGGGAAGCCTTTCTGCCTCTGCTGAGCCGGTCCTGGGTTCAATACAAGAGGATCAAAACCCATGGTTCCCAACTCCAAGACAGCATTTTAGTTTTTATGATGCTTAGGGTTGGGTGTTTGTAAACGGCAAGACTCACGCTTCTCTTTCCTTCTTTGAAAGCAAGCGAAGGGCAGAGTCTGGGCAGACACAGCGGCAGAGTTCACCCATGCTCCCGCCCCTGGTCCCCTGCTCAGAGTCAAGGGTTTTAAGGCTGAAAAGTTCTCTCTGGGATTAGAAATCCTCTAGTCTCATCCAGGAAACAGATCCAGAGGGCCCCTCTGTGAGTCAGGGACAGAGGTGATTTCCTGAGAGCCATGGGGCCAGAGGCAAGGAATGTGGAGGTACATTAGAGGGGAGCCCTCACAGGCCTGGCCCTGCAGCTGTGCTGGTTCCTGCTCCGTCTCCCACCCACACAGCAGGCAGCTGCCCCAGGCTGAGAAAGCCAGGCGCTCACCGCTCAGCTTGGCTAAAGCATGGGCATTTGAAACAGCACAGGTTGGCTCTGAATTCTGGATTTATCACCTCTTTGCTGGGCAACCCTGAGCCAGAAGCTTAACTCTCTGAGCTTTAAGTTCCTACTTGTGACTTGACGTAATGATATGCTCTCTTGTAGGCATCTTCTGAGGATGAAAGGAGAGAGTGTGTCTCCCTTCTCTCTTCCCGGACTTCCATTGCTTCTGTTCAGGCTCAGGACAAGCCCCTTACCTCTGGTCTCATCCCCCTCAGGCTACCCACCCTCCACATGGCATCCTGACTGGTTTTCTAAACCTCAAATCTATTTCTCCCTCTTATGGAGTCCTCCAGTGACCTCCCAGTACACTGGGGAAGAAGCACATTTTTTTTTCCTCTTGCCTTTAAAAACATTCCAATCTGACTTCCAGGATCTCACTAGCTTTATCTCCTGTCACAGCCACACACAGTCCCAAGCCTCCTTAGTGAGTTTTGACAGTCAGTGTGCCGGCCAATGACCTTCACATCCACCTGTGCTTCGGTTCATGGTGCACCTTTGCCCAACATGCCTCTGGCACCTCATCTCCCTGCTGTCTACCTGCTTGTCTTTAATACTCACATGACCTCTGTAGGTAGAACCGACCTCTCCTGACCACAGCCCCCCAGCGCATCTTGCTTATAGGGGCCCCCGGAGTAGTTATAGTTTATGAAACTGATAAAAATGCAAGTTTTAATGTGCATGTGTGTATGCACATATATGCACATGTAATCTGAGGAAGGGGTCTCTGACTTCCAATGGTGGATCTCAAACAACTCCATGATGCAAAAGGTCAAGAAGTTATTTCTCTTGATCTGGGTTCTGGTCACTGAGCACTTTTCTGTTTGCATATTTTATGCCCATAAAAAAAGATGAGAAGAGGCGACGAAGCAGTGCAGAGGGACAGACCTCCTCACACACACCCCCTTGTTGGTCAGTACTAATGTGTCTCACTTTTTTTTTCTTGATCACAAGCCTTTGCTCCTGAAAGGCAAGGACTGTGACATCTCTGTATCCCTAGGACCCAATGCCTGGTGTTCTCCCCAGCCCGCCCCATCAGTACTTACTACAGACCAAGGCCACAGCCATGCGCAGCAGCTTGAACTGGCACTTCATGCCTGACCAGTTCTAGAGAAAAAGGAGAGAGATTTATTAGTTGAAGATCAGGCTGCTCCTCTGCAGGTAGGGATGAAAAGCAGACATTTAAAGAAATCACCTCCATGAACTCGTGAGAGAGTTGGGCCTTCGTAGCAGAGTACACCAGCAGGACTTTTGAGATTTTAGATGAAGGTAAGTTTATCCCTGTCATAAAAACTCTTTTTTAAAAAAACACTTTTTTAGTTGCTGATAGATCTTTTATTTTTTTTATATGTGGTTCTGAGAATCAAACCGAGTGCCTCATACATGCCAGGCAAGTGCACTACTGCTGAGCCCCAGCCCCTGTCATAAAAACTCTTGAGGTCCACTAACAGAAGTAGAGAATCTACATCTCAGGAGACCAGAGCCCATGTCCTCCTCCTCAGATGTCACTGTGAGCTAGCACCTGAGATAGCACTGTGTCTGCAGCTGACAAGGGATATGATGGGACGTGACGTGGAATAGCACATCAAGGAAATCAAAGCAGAAGCATCATCATCAAGATGATAAAAGAACTCAAAATCCTGCCTGTGAGGAACAAATGAGAAAACCGGGATCTTTCAGCTCAAAGGACTCAGGGGTCAAGTTCACCCTCATCAAGCATCAAGTGAGTCAACAAGAGGAAAGAATTCAGGGATTCAGCACAAACTGCAAATAGGGGACTCCATAGATAAAAACTTCCCAGAGACCAGAGTGGCACCCTTAATCCCAGCAGCTTAGGAGGCTGAGATAGGAGGATCATGAGTTCAAAATCAGCCTCAGCAATTCAATGAGGCCCTAAGCAACTCAGCAAGATCCTGTCTCTAGTCAAATAAAAAAAAAAAAAAAAAAGGACTGGGGATGTGGCTCAGTGGTTAAGCACCCTGCGTTCAATCCTCAGTACCAAAAAAAACAAACAAACAAAAAAAACCAAACCAAAAAACCAACTTCCCAGAGATGCATCTTCTAGTGTAAGGTCAGTTTCACTTCTGATAAGCAGAACTGTCCAAAGACGGAATGATCCAGCGCGGGGTGGGGGTAGTGAGTTTCCCATCACTGAAGGTTCCAAACAAGGACTTCCATCACTCAGACAGAGCTGCTCCAGAGGAGAATCAGGCATTGGGAAGGGAGTGGGCCAGATGGCCTCCAAACTAGTCTCTCTTTCCCCTGAGAATCTCGGAAAACTCTGAACCACCAAGGCAGATCAGCAGTACAATTATCCACCTTACAAAAGGATTTTTCACTTTACAAAAGACTTCACCACAGGGTTCCTTTAAGGGGCACTCCTGCAGCGCAAAGCCTTATTCCATTTCTACAGATGTGAGCACACAGCCCAGAACCAGCCTGTGAGCTTCCTGGAACACAGCGGCCCAGGGAAGGAGGCAACTGGGCACGGCCAGGGGGACTTCTGTTCTCTCCCACCCACCCCATCTGCCCTGGCTGGCTGCCCCAGGGTCCCCTCCAGGGCACATCTCACACTCCTTGGAGGTTACAAGAGCATCCCTTAGTTCAAATTCACGGGGACCCTGAACCCTGGCAGGGACAATGCCATCTATGCCAGCACCAGCAGAGCCAGTGGGACGTGGGGGAAGCTGCCAAGAACGGGGAGAAATCCTTGTCCCCTCCTCCCTGTTCCCCGTTGTTCTTCACTGACCCACGAGCCCTGCCTTCACAAAAGATGGGATGGGCCACATGTGGCCCCTCTCTAGGTGGAAAGTCTCAATTTGCTTGCAGACACGTTCCATGCTAAGAAGCAGATGGCAGGATAACACTGTCCCCTGCTGGTCTCTGCCCACAGAGGGACCTTGCCAAGAGACGGAACAAAACAGGAGTCGGTGCCCCTGCTGCAGTGAGAGGCAAGCTGGGCCAGCTCAACTGGCTGGAGGTGGGGGGGCACCAGCTCCCCTCCAGGCGGAAGCAGCCAGCCTGCTCTTCCCCAAGGGGACATCTGCAGTCAAGTAGCCCAAGCTGGCTACTTCCCTGGAAAGGGCTCTTATCACTGAAAAGTTCCTCCTCCTGTTGTTCTCTAGGCCCCGCCTCCCTGCTAGGCCACCTATGCATCTGTTTTTTTTTGTTTGTTTGTTTTCTTTTGTTTTTGTTTTTGTTTTGAGAAAGGGTCTCACTCTGTTGCCTGGGCTGGCCTCAAGGATTCACCTGCCTTTGACTGTTTTGTAGCTGGAACTACAGGATGGGCACCTTGGTGCCCAGTTATCCATGGGTTTTTATTCTTCATTAAAAGTGAGACCCAGCCGGGGCGCAGTGGTGCACACCTGTAATCCCAGGGCTTGGGAGGCTGAGGCAGGAGGATCATGAATTCAATGCCAGCCTCAATAACTTAGTGAGGCCCTGAGCAACTTAGGAAGACCCTGTCTCAAAATACAAAATAAAAAGGATTGGGGATGTGGCTCAGTGGTTAAGTGGCCCTGGGTTCAATCTCTGGTACCAAAAATAATAATAATAATAATAATAATAATAATAATAATAAGTAAGATCCATGTTTATAGCAGCAGTATTCACAACAGCCAAAAGGTGGAAGCCACCCAAGTGTCTATCGATAGGTGATTGGACAAACAAAATATGTAGACACACATACAAATGTGGCATATTGCTCAATCGTAAAAAAGGAATTCTGACACATGCTACAACGTGGATGGACCCTGATGCTATGCCGAGTAAAATAAGCCAGTCACACACAAAAAAAGTCAAACACTGCAGTGATTTCACTTGTATGAAATGCCTAGAGTGGTCAAATTTGTGGAGACAGGATGTAGAATGGGGGTTGTCAGGGGCTGGAGGAAGAGGATATGAGGAGGGAAGTGTTTAATGGGTACAGAGTTTCAGCTTGGGAAGATGAGGAAGCCCTGGACACAGGATGGTGGTGGCGGCTACATGACAGTGTGAACGTCCTCAATGCCAGTGAGCGGCAACTTGAAGTGTCGAGCTCGTAATAGGCGTGTTCACCACAGTACAAACAGAAGCCATACGGAACACTTCTGCGGTCCCTGTTCCTCATCAAAGTCTCTGAGTATCCTCTCTGAACACATGTGGCCTCTCTGGGCCTGAGGTCGGATTAGTCTTAAAAAACACTATCCAAAACCCAGCCTCAGCAACAGCAAGGCACTAAGCAACTCAGTGAGACCCTGTTTCTAAATACAAACAAAATAGGGCTGGGGAAGTAGCTCAGTGGTCGAGTGCCCCTGGGTTCAATCTCTCATACAAAAAAAAAAAAAAAAAAGCACCATCCATATTCCTAGTCTGGCGTAGTCACTGATGGGGTCCCTCAGAATTCCTTATTCTCTAGTGCCCTCATTTGTGAATTTCAGATAACAACGGCGCTCATGTCAATTACCTAGCTCATCAGGTGATTAGAAGGATGAAATAAATGAATATGTGCAAAGCACTAACATCTGCCCATACAGTGGGTGTCCTATAAATGTCTGATATTAGTATTTAGATCTGATGCAAAGACAATGAGTTTTCCTGCAGAGTGGCTGTAAAGATTCATAATCCAAGTGACCTTGGACAGAGGGAGGGCGGAGGCTCCTGTTTGTGACCAGAGCATTCCCAAGCTAGCTTCCTGAGTTGACTATACCTGCCTGGCCCCCAGCCAGAGGTACTGGAGTCTGCCAACCCTCCGCCCAGCACTTTAGAGAAGAAGAACCTGAGGACCCGACCCAGGAGGGCTAGTTCAAGGTCATACTGAGTTCGCGGTGAGCTGCTAGGGTTCTGGGTGTAGGACTGCATCCGCCAGACAGGGTCACAGTCCATCTGCCTGTTTCTGTCTGAGCCCAGCTGTCCCCAGAACTGAGTGAATGACAGTAAATGACCCGTCTCCTAGCAGCTGAGGGGTTAAATTAGAAAGTCAACCCTTCCCACCGGCTGCCTTATTCTCCCGACCCATTATTCCCTCCAATAAAATGAGTGCAGTGAAACACCAGGAGAGAAGAAAAAAACCTCTCCCATAGCCTGCACTGCTGCTGCTATAAATGTGGAAAAGCCCATGGCCCCTGGGGAACACAAACCCTTTGCAGGCCCTTTAATTTCATTCTTCCCCGAGCCTCACAGGGTGAGATAGGAACTCAGCCACAGCAAACAAGTCAGTAAACCAGTTGCCTTGACATCCTGCTCAGCAAGCCAGTTGAGGGCTCAGAGGCAGGGCTGCCTGAGTAGCTCTGGGGTCCAGCCTTGCCAACATGTGTGAGGCCCTGGGTTCAATCTCTGGTACCAAAAATAATAATAATAATAATAATAATAATAATAATAATAAGTAAGATCCATGTTTATAGCAGCAGTATT